AATATGTACATAATATAACGTTTTTATAATTTTTATTGACGTCATTATCGTGATTTAAACATGCAAGCAATTAAAATAATATTGCTTTTTCAAACAAATTGAAATCAACGTTACCTATCTCTTTCATTTTACTTCTAACTAAATGCACCATTAATCATATGGTTAATAATTTATTATTTTTCATTTTTTGTTGGCAATAGTTTTAAGTACATTCTATTAAATTGTTACTCAATGTAACATAGTTACATTTTATATTTTTGACCATGTCCAATAATTCATACAATAATAAAATATTGACTATTTAGAAATAAAAGTAACGCGTTTAAAAAAATAAATTATTGTGTATACCTCTTTACAAATAAAAACTTATAGTATAATAATAACAAAAATTAATATTATAATGTTTTATAAATCACCAAAATATCTTTAGCAGATATAAATAACTAATCCACGTATACAAATACACATGTTCATACGTTAGCTAGATCACAATAAATAGGAATGGCCATAATTCATTTAATATTTGCCTAATCACTATTGTAGTGATTTTCACGTATATTTTTATAAAAGGTAATATATACGTTTCCCTTAATCGGTTTCATCTAAAGAGAAATCCAACCATAATACTTTATTTGAATTATATGACCAATATCTTATAAATATCTTGATTTCAGATACATAAATATTAAATACATACATTTTTTACATAAAATTAAATCATAATAATATATTTATTACCCAATTTTTAACTATAACAAATTATTTTTTTAAATAAAAAATAACTTGGATTAAAATTGTCAATCAATCCAACATGATAGATGACATTTATTTTAAACAATAATTAATTTTGTATGTTTTATTTGTACTTAAAACTATCAAAAATACACAGATTAAAAATTTAAAAAAAGTGTTATCCTTTAAAAATTAAATTATTTTTTGAAAATAGAACTAAGGATTTAAAATTTTAATAAATTATTTGAATTAATACTAATAAGATTTTTAATGTTTGGAAACACAAATACAAAGTAAATCAATTTATAAAAAATAAATAAATAAATAAGAATAAACGAATTATAAAAATGCCCTTTGTAATTAAAATAAATATTTAATTCCACTAATGAAAGTATTCGCTTTCATTAAATTTTAAAATTAATCAAGTACAAAATTATTTGGAATATTTGAACCACGTGAAAGATCCCGTTTGAGAGATGGTTTCAGTATTTTTTTTTCTCCGGAAAACTCTATCATCAATGTTCTTCACAGATTAGATCGGTGCTTTTCTTCTCATTTCTTCTTAGAATGATGGCCAGACCTTTTTTTTATGCTCCGAACGTGACGTTTTGAGAAAAATATAATTTTATTATTATTAATTTACAGGAGCGCTGTCAGACGCGCGTTAATTAAGCGTTAAGGTTGGGGTGGGCCATTTATTATAAAATAAAAAGCATTTTGTAGAACAAAAAATAAAAAAATTGTTGCTTTTTGTAAATATCACTGTGAACTTAAAGTATAAAAAAAAAATATATATATATATATATATATATATATAAATGTTTTAAGTATAACTTAAGTACATTATTGTAAAATAAAATCAAAACTTTTTAATTTTCTATTCTGGAGTGTAGTTTAATGTAAAATAATTCGGTAACTATTTAATTTTTAAATTTACGGTTAACATTGAATGCGTTATATACAATACACCAATAGAAAAAACTCATAATAAAAATAAAACATCAAATGTGTTATATCGCACAACAATTCATGCAATTTATCCATCATAGTTATTGAAGATTTGTTAATCAAAATATGCAACTTCTTTTTAATTTAATAAATTATTAAGCTCATATAATATTTAATCCAAGAAAAATCTGTACCTGATGTATTTTATGAGCATTTTTATATCAGATTTTAAACCCGTTAAATTCACTAATAATAATTAATTAAATATCCTAACTCTTCTAAGAAATTCTTGTCGTAGATGGTGATGTAAAGACCTATTAAAGTAATAGCTCTATCTATGTTAAAGTGTCACTAATAAATGGAAGGTAGTTTTACAATTGTTTTATAAAATATAAACACTGATTTAACAATTTTTTCTTTCGTTTTATATCCAAAAATAAAAATAAATATACTTTTGTTATTAACACTGTCTAATATTTTTATAAAAACATAATTTTTAAAAAATTTTTAATATTGAGAAATTTAACGGTTAAATGCCATTATTATTGTAAATATTTTATTATACGAAACGAATAATTAATTATTGTTATTATGTTATAAAGATATATAATATTTCACTTTTTTGAAAAATTAAACTTCCCGGTTACTTCATCGAAATATACTTTATAGAGGAGTTTTTTCACTATTCGCTTTACATAATTCAATTTTTCTAAACTTTGTAGTATTGATTTAACAACTAAAAGCAACTAGTGTTCAGAAATTAAACAAAGTGTTATTTAAGAATTGAACAAAAAAACATATTTTTCGTTCTGTTTTAAAATATTAATCAGAATGTAATAAATTATTATTATGCTTATTGCTTATGAAATTCAACGTACTTTGATTTATAATTCTAGTAATGAAAGTTTCAAATGACTCTTATCAAAATCGTATGATAAATATTAGAATTTGAATTGGTAAACAATGGAATTTTTAAAATCCGCCTCAAATTATTTTTTGGACATTATTGATTGACACAAAACAATAAAATTATGAAGACTTATCATAATAAAAGTTTCGATATCAGCACACTTCATCAGCATTCATGTCAACAACTTATTATACTTCGTTGATGAAATTAAATTAATTTATAAATATTCATTCACTACGCATATAGTTTAACATTAGATGAGCTACCACTTCTAAATAGGTAAGAACCTATAATACAGGTTAACAACCTCATTGATAACATTAAATGTATTTTACTTACTACTACTATTCAATTATAAATTTAATAAAATTGCCTAAAAAATAAATAAACGCAAAAAAAATAATTAAAGTTTTGTTAGATATTTCAAATACCGGATGATTTTAAGATCTACACGAATCAAAAACCTAATATTTTGTGTTTTTTTTTAGAATTTGATAGTTTACGTATACATTTTATATTTTATTACCGAATCATTGTATTAATCATTTAATAAATTATAAGACAACAGCTGAAAATTATTTATTTTTTTTTTTATTGAACTTGAGCCTAGCAACTAGGGCCATTAGCTGTTTGTAGGGGTTATGAACTATGATAAGGGGTAAGGTTGGTACGGTAGGTTGTATTTTTACGATTGTTATGGTTGATACCAAACACGTGTATGTGTGGTAAGGTTTTTAACCACTATGATCCCGAGTGGACACCCATCCGAGAGCTAATAGCTGTAGCTGTTACTTACTCTCAGTTGCATTTCGCAACTGGAAGCAGCCAACGCGCCATGCCAAGCCACAAAATGAAAATTATTGTAATAACATAGATATCAAAAATGTTATGACTATTTATAATAATATTTGATTTTGTTTTAGTATATTAAGTTATTTTATGTACAAAATATTAATTTAAATAAACTATTAAAACAAATTTGTATTCAATACTTGAATGCGAATTACGTTCTTTTTAGATTTATAATTATATTTTATTTTATATTTTACAATTTGTGCTGAAAATATACATATTATATCTTAAGGCCAAAATTAAAAATTAATTTTTAACAGATAAATAATAGGACGGGGACCTACATTCATATTTCTATTGTTAATTTTAGATATCATAGTAATTATTTAACGTACCTATTACGATTTCTCATAGATTCTAAGTGTTTTAAATGTATAAAGTACTAATACATTATGTGCATCAATGTGTAATATTTATCAACTTATTTTATACATTTCATCAAAATAAAAATCTAATACATGAATATTTATTAAATTACAAGAGATTTTTATAAAAATTAAGTGAGTGAAATTCAAAACTGTATATTTTGTAAAAACATTCTAATACTAAATAAAATTGTTAAAGAACTCACCGTTTTAAAAAAAATGAAAATAATGAAAGAGATAGTGATCATATTGTATTTACAGAAACGAATATTAAATACATTAAAATATTTATTTATTTATTTATACTTGGTATTACTTACATTTTAAAATAAAAATAAAAAATGTAGTCAAGTGAGAAACGTTCTGTTATACATTAGGTGTCCAGTTGTTCACTATTATGGGTGTATTAAATTTAAATTCAATTATATATTATTGTATACAAAAAACAATCCAAAACGGAAACGGTCTGTCACTCTATAGCACTAAATATATTTCATAATATTACATTTTTTTTATGTACCAAGCTAAAATAATATATAATATATTATTAAATTTTGATTTTATTAAATCTTACCATGAAACAGTTTAAATAAATGTATGGAATAAATAGATAGATAATATATTTAAATTAATTTGGATATTTTTAAAATTTTATTCGGTTTAATAATAATATTTGATTTGCGTAAAAATTCCTGTTTTTCTTAATCACTTGTTTGTTTTTTTAGATTATAAAAAAAGTACAAACAAGTTTTAATTTTGACCACTCTTAAGTACAAATAAGATCCATTTCACTATCAATACTACCCTAAAGTTTAAAATCTAAGCTTTTTCAACTACTTATTTTGTACATAGACACAAAAATAACACATACACACACACACATCTTTATAAAATCAATACATTCATCCTCTGCTAAGAATTCAAAATAAATGGAACAATATTTTTGCCTTTTCAAGTTTTTTTCATTTAAAGATACTCTTTAAATAAATAATTTTAATGAAAAAAAAAAAATTAATGTTTATTTGCTATTTAATTAACTTTTAGTCAGTGACTATAACAGAAACATAATTTTATACTCAAAAATGAATCTAAAAGTAAATATAAAAATAACCAAATTTGGATTAGTATAATATTATAACGTGTACTAATAGTTTAATCCTATTTTTGATCAAATCGTTATTTATTTAATTTAGTGCATAATGTCCATTAGACAATGAAACAGTAGACCAACTTACGGATCAATACGGTATATCATGGCCGACCCCGAGAGAACTAGATTAGTGGTGCTTGGTGATGCTGGTGTTGGAAAGAGTGCAATTTGCAAACGGTTTTTGTACAACTCGTTTTGCTCCAAGTACAAGACGACGGTAGAGGATCTTTACAGTAAAGAATTCAACGTCGGCACAACCCAACAGCTCAAAGTAAGTTATAATATTCTATAAATTGTATTAACATTATTAAAGAACACATTTTTATGAATATTATTGTTACTGCAGCTTTGGTTTTTAGAATATTTGGAAAAATCATTAAAATATATATCATATAAAAAATAAAAATGTAAATTTGAAAAATATATTCAAAATTCCAATGTCAATTATAAATTAGCATTGAATTATTTTATAGAACATATAGTTTACCGGGATTCTAGTGAAATATTATTATATGCATGTCTTTAGTTTAAACCTAGCATTGAACATATTATTATGAAGAAATTATAAATAATACAATGGAATTCGTTCATTAATATTTACCTACCTACAACAAAATGTGTAACATTATTTTTAGATTTCAACCATAAAACACGAGTATTTATCATATTTTGTACAACTATAAAATATTTTACATTTAAATGTATTTTAATTGATATATTTTTAAACAATTATAATGGAAACTACGTTATAAAATGCATGAGTTATTGATTGGAAAAAAGTTTATCAATTATTGACAACAAGAAATAAAAAAATAATTTAATCAATAATCGGTAGGCATTTACTTTTAAGCATAATTTACTAATAATATTGTTATTAAAACAGATAAAACAGATAAAACATATGTAATGTATTACAGTAACATTAATTAGATTGATTTAGCATAGATAAATTCAGAATGATTGCAGGGTTTAAGTTGTAAATATGTGTTTACTTTCTCTAAAATTGATTACTAAATACGAATAGTGAAATACTAACATCTCAATTAAAATAAAGTCGCAACTTTGCAATGTTATTTTACATAATATTGCTTATATTATGTATTTAAATATAATTAATTACAAATATTACTCAAATTTTAATATATTATCTTATTGGTTATTCTGATTACTATGCAAATCAATATAAACTTCATTAGAATAACTTGCAACTATAATTATTTTATATTTCGACACCTTGAATAGTATACTAAAACGATATTAAAATACCAATTGATAAATTAATTTAGTACGTCACCAAGTAATATTATGGGTTGCAGTTATTATTGTGAGTTTAAAACTTTCATGTGAACAAACATGAAAAACAAAGATAATTTAATTTTAAATATTTCCTGAATATTATTAATAATATTATGTGTATATATTTGCGTATATCTTGTATGCACTGACGTTTTTATGTATATTAATAAATATACATAATATATTGTTTCAAACTAAGTTGTACTAAATGAGTACTCAATATTATTTAAATGTAAACATATCAATACGTGAAATTAATACAGCAAATTCAATTTTGTACATTACAATAAATAAAAAAATCATCAATAATAATAATTATTATTATAGGAATATAATAATATACGAAATCTGATCGAATATTAAACATTATTATGATTATCTCTCCTTAGTCGTCATGAACTGTAATCTATGTGTTATATAATTAATAATAATTACAATGTGCAGGTATAAAATATAAAATTATCTACAAAAGATCTGTTTGTCCGAAATGAAACTAATATCGTTGTTGCCAAATGGAAATTCGTGGCGATCAAATTACGCTGTCTTTCGCATGTGCGCGTATTATAATATCGTCTATGAGTAAGTATGCTGCTGACAGACGCCTTACAACGGGACCGTTGTTTGATGGTTATTATTATTATTATTATTATTGTTGTTACGTTGACGTACTATATTTTATAGTATTGTTTTCAAATCCCCATGGTCGCTATAGATTATTATATATAACGCTGCAACGATCGAGGACATCAAATAAACGTCTTGTTTCAAAGACGCGCGACCAAAATCATCTACCACCAGTTGACGTCACTTCTCTCATTCTACAGCTACCGAATAACACCACTAAAATTGTCGTCACTTCTTTCCTCTTCACCTCCCAAAATATTTCCGTCACTACTGCGTGTTATACACCCTTTTAATCCACCCACCACCCACATACATAGGACAACGAGCATTTATTATTATATGACGTAGTAGAGTACAAGTAATATTTATAACACTAATAATAGTTGGCAGCTACCCGGCTCCCAACGTACCATGATTTAGCTAGTACCTACAGAACGGTATCTAATGGAGCTGTCCTGGTAGTGACAAACATTATCTCAATACACTTGATAGCACGGAATAAGAACATGCCAAGAGTATAGCAGACAAACATTTGTGAGGCAGGTGGCAGAAAGAATGGGAAGAGGAAATCACCACTGGAACGTGGACGAAGCGGTTATTAATACCAGTATTACGTTGCTGGCAAACCGAACCTACAGAGTAGCGGGTTATTCTATGACCCAGTTCTTGACGAGGCACGGCTGCTTTCAAGCCTACCGTCATAAATTTGCGCGTATTGAAAAATCCGGATAACGTAGTATGCGGGGACCCGATAGACGATTTTTTGGATGCGGTCGATGGGTGAAAAGACACGTGGAAGTGGAAACCACAGTGGGTGAGGACATCACTCCAGATTCCATAGTACCTATTGTGCTAAATAACCGGGAAAATTGGTATGCCGTAGAAAAATACATTACTTAAATAATGATCATTGAGAAAAAGGAGAAACAGCAAAGTCAAAGCGACCACAGTGAACAGCTATAGTCAATTATTGTAATAATAATCGTAATATTATAAACTGTACTGTTACTTATTATTTTGTAAATTATTTACTTTTAAATTGTAATTATACTTGCTGTTACTATAAATAATAATGTACGACTTATTAATATACGTTTTATAAATAAACAATAGTAGTCCGGTGGAAAAGCAAAGCATGGACAGTCTTATCCAAGGTTAACAATTCAGAATAAAAAAAAAATAGTAAAAAAAAATAACTATAATAGTAGTAAGAGAAGGAGGAAGAAGAGGAGGATAAGAGAGCTTAAGCTCCACGGCCATGACTTCCACACTATATGCCATACAAAAGCCCCTTTGTAAAAGTGAATATATACAGAGTTCGGACGATGGACGGAACTATGCTGAAGGGTTAATGGCTCAATTGAATAGCACTTGCGCGATCCAACGTCGACCATCCATATTATGTATTGGACTTAACCGCATTATTTCGATGACCGTTTTAGGCATGGTGGCTATTATATTACAATATAAAATGTATATACTAAGTAATGATGTCTCTTTAGTATTCACCCCGTTACTTAGACTTACCTTTTTTTTTTAATTGATGTACGATTTTTGAAAACTACGACCATATTAAAAAGCCCAGTTTGTCATAATTTTGAATACTTACTGATTTACTTATAATTTAAATTACAAAAATTAAAAACGTTTTTGCTATTTAAGGTGTAGTACTTCAAACACCAAAGTAAACAATATTTACAGTGTTAATTTATTTAAATATTTCAAAGCAAGATTTATTAAATTCCGTTAGATATTCCAATAGTCATATAAGTTTTAAAGTATACAACTTTGTAAGAGGATGCACAGAGAATTTTATATGATGACCGCAGTGAGATATTATGTAAATACATTTTTACCAATTAAATAATGCATTGAACTTCTAATTTATGAAATTTTTTTTAATAAGCTAAAAGATCATGTTTTAAATTTATATATTATTTGTATAATTTAACGAGTACATAACTTAATTTTTCAACCAAAACCATCCTTATTTACTGTATATACATCAATAATTAGGTATTTTTTTTATTTATAAGTTATCTAAATTAACATTTCTACGAATAGTTTCTGAGCTATTAAGCTTTGTGTACTATTAATCGATATTAATAATGCTAAATAAAATATAAAATATGATAAATATATTTTAATATATTACTAAACTACTACTATTTTAGGGAAATTTTTATAAATTATAAAATGTGAGTTAATAAATTAAAATATTAATATTAGTAACTAAAATTTTCAAATTATTTTAGTCTTCATATTTTATAATCATGGACTATTCTTCTTAATACATACATTTTAGTAACTTAGAATCTAATTTAAAGTCATCAAGATTTTCAAAATAAATTATTTGAATATAATAAAAATATCAATTTTTAGTAGAAAATGTAAACTCGAATGTTAAAAAAAAAACATTTTTGTATTATCATTATTTACCCATAAGAACATATTAAAAATTGAAAAATGGTTTTTAATATAAGTATACCTAAGTGCTTAAAATTCCAAAACTCAGAATGTTATTAATGCATCATTTATTGGTTAATTGGGGAAAAAGTTAAACGGAGAACAGGCTTGATGAATTTATTTTACACATAACAAATTATCAAGCATACTCAAATATTTATTTTATTTTATATTATTTTATTCATAGATTATGAAGTTTGATCTTCGTGTATTAATGCAAATATCAACTTAGTTAAATGATTTTTGAAAATATACTACACTATTATTTGTGATAGCAAATCAACAATATTATTAAAGAATAGTTATAATTATAGAATAATACTTCAATACTTTTATGAAAAATTCATTATAGTACAATTAATGGTTCTAGATGCGATTTATTTAACAAATATTATCTAATTCCTGGAAATAAATTTCTTTAAATATTTTTAAAATGATCGTTAATACAATAAAAACATTGTATTTTTAATAATCGTATTGCTTTAACTATAGTTCATAATTTATAAAACTTTTTAACTTTCGATTAAATAAAATCCGGTAAAAATTTACTATAATCTGTGGACTTTTAAACAAAATTATCGTCAATTTGAGTGATTTTTCTATCTAATTTATATGATGCATTATTATTTATAATTCTAAGAACAGTAATACGGTACATTAAAAATACAACCACAACGAATATCAACCTCCTAAATAAATGCATTTGATTTATTATCTCGTTTTAAATATTATAATATTAATCAACAATACTTGTTATTTTTAATAATTTATATTTACAATGTGTATACATAAGACTTTTAACAATGTTATTTACGAGTGTATCGTAAATTAGCTAATATAAAACGTAAAGTAATGTCTTTTAAAAATTAAATTAGAACGTACTAT